GGGCGCGCCGATTCTGTCGTGGGTCACCAACCTCGACATGGGCTGGATCAACATCACGCCACGCCTCCTCTTCATCTCGGCGACCATGTACTATGGCCGCTTTGCACTGCAGTGGAACTGGCGCCGCGTCCTCGCTTTCTGGACCTTTTCCAACATTGTGCTCATGGCGCTCGCCACCTTCTTTGTCATCTGCGACGTCTCGCGCAATGCGTACCTCTACTCGGTGCTGCTCGTGCTCACGGGCGTCCCCGTGGCCATCATCAACCTCATCATGGGTTTCCTCATGGTCGAGATGGCCGGTGTCGGCTACGAAGCCGTCATTGCCGGTCTCTGGGCCTCGATCCGCGACCTCAACGTACCGATCGCCAACAAGGTGCGCTCGTGGCTCCTCGACGGCTTTCCCGCCACGATGAGCCTCCAAGACGACGCGGAGACCAAGCACCACGTCGCCTACATGCACCTCATTGCATTCGCGATCCAGCTCATCGGCCTTGTCTGGATCGTCTTGCTGCCGTCGCAGAAAATCCCGCTGGCCATGATGAAGCAGCGCGGTGGCGCCACGTCCGTCGGCGTCCTCGTCGCACTTGGCTACATTGCGCTGATGGCGTTCTCGTGGCAGCAAAACGTGCACAGCTATGCGCAATAAGAACTACCACTATATACGACTAGACACACTACGATAAAACTAACAAATCGACTATTTATGATCTTCTATCCTCTGCTGCGCGTTTGTGCATAGGTGACAACGGGACGTCTCGCTTGCGCGTGCGATGCAGCCTCATGATTTGCCGGCCAAGAAAAGGAATGCGCTTGAACAAAAGGTACCGTGTAATGTTGTCTTTGTCACAGGGCGACCGTCGATGCGTGCCCTGCAACGAACGCGCTGCTTGTTTCTGCGCAGCAACCAAGTTTTTTGGATTGCCGTCGGACCGATTACGCTTCAGCGAGGGCTGAGAAGCATCATCTCGACGCGGCGCCCGTGGGCTTGTTTGCGGTTTCGTGATCACGCAGGCGTCGCATGATGCAGGCTGCAACGTACGCGCGTAAGCACTACACTACGGGCGAACGCACCCGAAGGATTGCTGGAGCCAAAGTGTGGGTTCGTCGTAGCTATTTGTTGAAAGTTACTCAGCCAGGCATACCCTTTCGCGACTTTGCTTTGGGAATTGATTGCGAAGGGTTAGGGTTGATGTCTGCATGATCTTTGTTCGACGAGCAACCCAAGCACAAAAGTACAGTGCATTGGCGCAGCTATACATTAGCTTGCCCACTTGTACGTGCGAATGCCACCCTTGGGCACGACTATCTGGACGGCGCGCCTGTCGCTCGTCGTCAATGCAAGGCGCGCTTTCCGCGTGCACGTTGAGCACCACAAGAACGTTGAACCCGCTCGGCGTCACGAACGCCGCTGCCTGCGCAAAGGCGTACTAGTACCCGGCTGTAACACAAAAGTCCGTCGCGTGGCTGACCATCTACGCACCTACACACAGAGTTTCTTGACAGATTGGCGATGTCGCGTCAGTACCTTGGAACGACCACGCTTGGTGGTGGGCAGACACGCAAGGCTCGAGCGAATAAACGGCGCTGATGTCGCGCGAGGCGTGGCCAGCGCTCACGCACAACTCGCCACTGCGGATGAGCCCGTGCGGCTCGAACGTCCACGTCGTCGCATTGGCACAGTCGACGAAGGTCGTCGTGATGCCAAAGAGAGCCACGCTGACCTGGAGGTAATAGGTGGTGCCGTCGACTTGAAGCTTGCCATCGTGTGTGCGGACCCATGCTTGGCGGGCACTCTCGTCGCAGGCGTAGAGACCCGCGGGTTAGTCGGCGAGGAGTGCGTCGTAGGTCACGTGTGCCGCGATGCGCTTGGAGCCGGGCGGAATGGAGCGTGAAACGTGCGAGAGAAAGTAATACATGGGCTGCACAACAAAGCTCGTCTCGTCGGGTGTCAGCACCAGCGGCGCGTCGCACGTGTTTGCGAGGTGGTTGGGTCCGCCGTTGTGGTCGAGGAGGAGGTTCCAGTCGACCCAGCCGACAACCGGCGGTTGTCGAGATTGCCGAGGGTGTCGTGGGCGTTGTAGCGCTGGCCGCGGAACCAGCCGTCTTGGCCGGAGGCTACGTCCGGGCAGATGCAGCTCTCATTCGATCAAATAAACTTGGCTACGTCCTCAAATGTGTCACGTAGAGCTCCGTGTGGTGCATGACACCGTCGTGCTCCCAACCTCCCATCGCGTACCAGAACGTCATCAACAAAGTTGGCGGCCTTGGCATCATTGACGCGCGCATAGTCGGTGACGGCGTTGCGAATAAACCATGATCTTGACCTCGGGGTGGTCGGCGGGGTCCAAGGAAGTTCGCCATAAAGTCGGCTTGCGCGTCGGCCGTGCACTCTCACGGCGCAGAGAAGAGCGGCCCGTTCTGCGGCGTGAGCCCCCTCGCCTTGTACGCCGAGCTAAACTTGGAAAAGTAGAGCACCCAGGACGTGTGAAAGTCGATTGGGTACCATGCGCGTTTGGCACGCCGGCAGGCTCCATGGCAAGAGGAAGAGCTCGAGCTTGAGCTGCAGGCGCTGCGCGAAGGAGCGGGATGATGGTCGCTTGGTCGTGCGTCACATTCGTGTCGTTGACAACGTCGTCGAACGAGTAGTACGCCGAGCTGAAGTCGCACGAGTTCATGGCTCGATCGTGTAGCCGGCGCCCGTCTCCGCGTCAAAGTAGAGACGCAGCACCTCAGCCTGCCGCGCCGGCGACAGCTCTGCAAACTGCAGGGCCGCCGCCTCGGTGAGCGCCACCCAAGCCGAGGATCTCTTGAAACACGGACGACGTTTCAACGTGAACGTAGCTTGAGGCTTTGGTGATCGGTGCTCCAGTCAGCGTGGCCAATGGGCTGCACTCGCGCCGCAACTGCGATTCAACAACGCGCAACGGCAATGTCGTCAACACGTGCGCCGGTGCAAACGACTGGAAGGCGACGACGCCGGCCTTCCGAAGAAGCGCGGCGGCGCCAAGAAGGACCTTGTGGGTCGACGCCGAATGGCTGTCGTCGGTATCAGCTCCCGGCAGAGCTCCGAATTGAGTCGTAGCTTTGTTGAACAAAGCCATCCCAGATATTGTGTGGCATTCGCGGCGGAGAGAATGTCAACCGACCGGGAGGCGTCCATCGTCGACGCTGTCTCCTTGACGAACACCCGGTCGAACGCAGGCACCGGCAGTTGGTTGGGCAACATACGGTCTGTTCAAAACCACCCAACTTCACAAACCCATCATAGTGAAACCAATGTTATTGGCTGGCAGCACCAGGTTTGACCGATCCCAGATACACACCAAAGAAAGATCACGTTGCTTATTCGATATGACGCGACACGGGTACGTCGCGATGAACTGTCCATCGTCGACCGATTCAAGCATGCAAGCAAGGACGATACGATCGCTTTAGCACTTGACGGCGTTGGTTTGCGTCAAAAGACCGAGCTTGTACGGCAGCGCGTCGTAGTCGCCGCCGGCCTTGGGGTCGAGGCCCTGGTACAAGAAGCGCAGCGGCTGGCACGGGTCCACCGTCAGCGTTTGGTCCGTCTGCGTGCGCACGAGCTCGCCGTGGCTGATGCTCTTGGTCCACGCGGTGCCGTTGGGAAACTGGACGTTGTTGGCGCGCGCGAACGGGTTGGCCTCC